TTTTTCTTTATCTTTGTAAAAATGTTTTTTTAAATATTTTTCCTTTATTCCTTATGTCAAAAGGTATTCAGTATTTTAATATATAACATTAATTACATAACACCCTATATAAAGAGCATTTTTTTATTCAAAAAAGAATGGTCAGAACCATATTAAACTTCTCTTATAGAGAAAGCTGTAGGGCAAAATTTAAATCTGTTAACTTTAAATTTAAATATGTTAACTGGCTTGTATACGCTAAAGAAGTATGGGGTTTTCGCAACGCGCGAGCCATCTTTGGCGGTCGATAGCATTGCGTGAATTGTTAACAAAACATTTAAAGCATACAAACTGCACATCATTTTTAAATAATTAGGTAGTTTTTTCACAAAAGAGAGACAGAAGTCTTACTCGACAAATTTTGTTCAATTGCACAGCTAAATCGCGCACGTTATTTGTGTTTTAGGTTGCAAGGAAAAAACTAAAAAACTGGTTTAGTACTCGATTTCGATTGATTATTCCTTATATCATTGAATAAGAAACTCAACGCTTAAATGCTCTTACCTATACTATAAAGTTACGTTAGTGTGTGTATTAGGGTGTGCCAAAAAAACTCGATATTTCTTTTTTCTTGTTCTCCACCCAAAATATCGTAGAATATGTCCGAACAAATATTCTGTTAAAAGCGGAGCTCATAATTTCAATTTTAAGAGGTCCCTTATCGAATCTGAAGTTTTGCCGCTTAAATAACACAGAAAACTGACTTTTTTACCTTATTTATTCTTGCAACCTAGGAAGAAATTTTTTTTTCATAAAATCCATGACCAAATCTTACAAAGCATTAAATTTGGACGAAAAAATCTTATTAAGCCGAATTTCTATTTTCATTATTTAATTTTTTACAGAGCTTTAAATTTAAAATTTTACGTTTTTTGCCTTTTTCAGCTAAACTATTGAAGTTAGACGAAAAAGTCAAATGGCAATTTTTTACCTTGTCTGATGGACCACAAAAAAGTTTTAGGCGAATTTTTTGTATCGTCAATATTCTAAAAGTTACAGGCGTATAAATTCATCATTTTTGTATTATTAACTTTAAATTTAAAGCTCTGTAAAAAATCAAATAATGAAAATAGAAATTCGGCTTAATAAGATTTTTTTGTCCAAATTTAATGCTTTGTAAGAATTAGTCATCGATTTTATGAAAAACAAATTTCTTCCTAGGTTGCAAGAATAAATAAGGTAAAAAAGTCAGTTTTCTGTGTTATTTAAGCGGCAAAACTTCAGATTCGATGAGGGACCTCTTAAAATTTAAATTATGGGCTCCGCTTTTAACAGAATATTTGTTCGGACATATTCTACGATATTTTGGGTGGAGAGCAAGAAAAAAAAATATCGAGTTTTTTTGGCACACCCTAGTGTGTATTTTATCTAAGGGATCATGGTGAATTATTGTTTTTAATTGAAAATAAAATTCAAGAAATAAATCGTTGCATTTTCATGTTTTGTCAAAAGATCCAATTTGGTAAGTACATTTGTTGGTGAAGAATTAACTATTGATAACTTTACCTAATGTAATTTAAGTATATTTAAGTTAGGACATTTTTAAGAAAGTATTAAAAAATAATTGTTGCACAAACAAAACCTTCAAATCGAACATTTTTATATTTGAGATCTCTAAAAAACGCCAACAACTGCATTTTAAACAACAAAATATACCTACAAATTCATGGCAACATAAAATTATACAGGGTGGTCCAGGATTAATCTGAAAAATTTGAATGATCGATAGAGCCTGAAAAAACAATAAAAACAAACCCAAAAACATTTTTCAAAAATACACACTAACACACTAATAGCCCTTCAAATGCAAAAAAACCGTTTTTTTTTAAATAACTTTAAACCATTAAACCGATTCTGCTCAAATTTTGTGTAATTAAAATTTCTTACAAAAGGCCCAGCGGCGGAGATTTTGGGGGGGTTTCCCCTTTTTACCCCCATATTTTGACCCCACTAGATTTTATTGGAAAATCAACAGATTGTCAAACACATTTGATTTATTATGCCACGTTATCAGTTTGGCAACATCGAATATGCAGATACTCATTATGTGTATGGACTATGTGATGGAAATACCCTAGCACCAGAGGTTTCGAGACTTTGAACTACGAAATAATAATGAACAAAATGTACGTGAACCGAAATTAAGACGACGAAATAGAAATAGGATACTGAGAACTTTTCAAAATGATCCAGGGTTGAGCTCCCGGAAAGCTGCTTTAAGACTGAATCCCTCAAAGTCAAATATTCTAAGAGTTCTTCAAGACGACCACCAAAAACCTTATCATTACTGCCCGGTTCAAAAAAGAAGAGCCCAATTTTGTTCAAAAAATTTTATGGCGCTCCAGCACATTCAAGTGTTCGAGTGCTGCAATGGTGCCACAAAAATTTCCCGCAATGTTAGATTTGGGCCAACCTCTTGGCCGGCGAGATCGCCTGACCTCAACCCGTTAGAATACTACTTTTGGGGATGTGTCAAAGATCTTGTGTATTCGACAACAGTAAGGACTAGAGAAGAATTAATAGACAGAATACGAGATTAATGTAACTACACTACAAGTTGCACGGGCTGCCCAATTCCTTTTACGGCGCTGTCAAATGTGTTTGGATGCTGGGGGAATGCAATTTGAAAGTCTGATATAATTTGCTACAAGCTACTGTTACTGTTATAATTTGTTACCAAGTTACCGATTCAAGATAAAAATAAACTAGCGTCTAGGAGTCATCATGCAGTTACTGATCCCGTCATATTTTTAGGTTGTTTTATTGTAACGTTGATTGAAGATTACAATCAACGTTTGTAATTAATAATTTAATCTTTGTACACTGTGTTTTTGAAATTTTAAACTAAAATATCTCCGAAACCACTGATCTGATGAAAAATTAACACAAAAGTTTTGCTTTTACATTAAAAAAGGATATAATAAATCTGATAAATCCAGTGGCGTCGAAAATATGAAGGTAAAATGGAAAACACTCCCAAAATCTCCGCCACTGGGCCTTTTGCAGGAAATTTTCGTTATATTATCGACGGAAGCTTAACCTACACAAAATTTGAAAAGAATCGGTTTAATGGTTTAAAAATTATTTTGAAGGACTATATCTCCGTTAGTATGCATTTTTGAAAAATGGTTTTGTGTTTGTTTTTATTGTTTTTTCAGGCTCTATCAATCATTAAAATTTTTCAGATTAATCCTGGACCACCCTGTATATAATACATAATATAATGGTATTCGAATACAGATCTACAGTTAAGTGAAGACTTTCTTAATCAAGGCTTTTAATAATGCTAAATGCTGTTTAAATTTAGACGACTTATTTGTTTGACGAATTGAAATGTTTACACTTTTTACGTTAATCATTACTAAAATGTGTATTTATTGTATCTAATAGATACAATGTATATTTACAGGGACTGTATGAAATTTATTTCTTCATTCGGATTAACACTGTTTAATGGAAAACCGGTAAAAACTCAACACAGGATTTCCTTTCGAAATACACACAACAACACAACAAATTCCGGCTTTATTTTCAAAAACATTTGTTTGTAACATAAGAGTTTAACAGCTGATTATTAAAAGTTGTAGTTTTGTTACGATGATAACGGCAGAGTGGTGGCGCTACTATCGATGCTTCTTTAGCGTAAATATACGAGTTGTTTTTGGTTAAAAAAAAAATAATTTTTAAGATTTTTCACACCTTAAATCAATGACAAAAATTGTAATTTAATTTATCCGAGGCATAGGCTGAAAAAGGTTGCTTTTATTCTTGAATTCCTGTTCATACCTAATAGGTTACCAATTTCATTAAAAGTTGCAATTCACAGTAGAAACTTTAAAAATGTAATAAGACAATACTTAGTAAACCTAGAACCTTATACACTTAAGGAATACTTAGAAATGTGATATTTATACGTGTACAAAATTTATTTTTTTATTATGTAAGTACTTTTGTAATTCCCATGTATTGTAAAACATGGATGACTTTTTCTGTATTTATTTACATATGTGTGTTTTTATGTATATTTACATTTACATGAAATAAATTTATTATTATTAAAAATGATTTGGATCGGGTTTGGTTATTTATGGTCTAGGCCGTAAAAAAAATGTATTTACTCATTTGGACCAATGAAAAAATTCCACTTCTTTCAGATCGATCTAACCTAACTTTCTACTTTTAATAATAGTAAGTTTTATGTAACGTTTAACAAATAAAATTTTGCCTTGAAGATAAAAAATGTATGATATACGCCATTTAAGTCACGAATTTAAATTAATTTAATAAGTGTCTAGAAAAGTTTATTAACAAGTTGCATAATATATACTATATACTTTTTCTACGACAAATACTTGTTATTATCTAAAAATGATTTAAATGAAATATTTGTATAGAGCGACATCTACTTATACAAAAATAGAGTAACCGTGAGAATGGGAATCTGTATTACCGGCAGGAAATGTCAAATTTTTCTGTGTGGTGCAAAATTTATCCCTTGAAAATGGACTAACAACCGTTTAAATCCTCTATGAGGCAGTTTATTGCAGTGGAAGTAAAGAAAATGTTTTATGGGCACTCCACGGTGAATTTTTAATGCTTTATCCAGTTTACTGCAGGCTAATATATCTTTTATCGGTCTTATATAAGACCGAGCTACCAGCGAAAATCAATATGTTTCCAAATTGGTTCAAACTTAAGTTCAGTGAGTATGCGTAAATCAGTTGATATAAATAAATCAACGTTTCTGCATACGGCCCTTTGGAAATTCGTTATTTCACTTACTCTCGGCAGGGTCACGAAATTACGTATTCTTTGCGGGTGTTACTTTTACGGACTAGTGCGATTTTCCGGGTCATCCGGATTTCACTGACTTTCCCTGACCACCTTACCCTTCCCTGAACATCCAGAAAGTGGACAGACACCCTACTATAATAAATACCCTTTTTACTTGGAGATCTTACCTTTAATTTTTCCCGCATCTTTCGTATTAACGGTTGTCCACTCCCGTCCACGAATTCCGGCGTGATGTAAACTAACCGATAACGATTCTCGAAAATCTGTCGCTCGGTCTCGGCCGAATTTTTGTTTGCTGAACCCAAGTAACAGGCTGGTATACCTAAAATAATAGTAAGAGTATATGTTGTAAATATTTTATGAAAATAGTGCACTATTTTCATAAAAAAATATTTACAACATATACTATACAGACTGTATAGAATCGTAATTACGAACCACAGTTGCCAGGTTGTTTTAAATCAGAAGAGAGCGATTATAATTATTTAATAAATAGTTCAATTTTATTTGTTTGAAACTTATTAATAAATTAATAATATGTCAAAAATAATTTGATTTAGTTAATTTTCTTACTTTTAATATTAAAAAATAAGAAAAACTACCCTTTTAGGAAACAATAATAGCATATGGCAACAGCGCGGCATGCAGCCAGATACAAGGGCATGCAGTTTGATCTACTGTTTGACAAACAGTGTTTGTTCAGTAGCTCCGACGCTGTCGTAGGGAAATGTGTATAGTTTTTAAGAAATACATTTTCGCCATTAACTGGAATTTAAACAATACTTAGTTTTTATTTGCAGAAATGCCTTAAAACAAAACAAACGAATTCGATAAAAATAAAACCTATAAATTCTCAAACAAAAATAATTCTAAAATAACGAAAATAACTTTTTTTCTAAATTAAATGTTCAAATAGACCACCAGCAGAAGTTAAACAATACCCTAGCCTATCATAAAAATTCCTGCGCACGTTAAACAGCATTTCAGGACTAATATCTCCCAATGTATTAAAGATTTGCACCCTTAATTCATCGAGATTATTAGCCCTGAGCTCTTAAAATCCATAAATTTTCGACTTGACGTATCCCCACAAGAAAAAATCACACATCCCTACCACAGTGGGCGGGGTTTGGCACTTGTTTTATTTAAGTGTATCTATTCGTTTTAATACACACTGTATATAGGTACATATACTAAAGGGTGTCTCACCAGCGGTGGTACCTTAGAAGTTTACGGAGAACGACTGAGGATATCAATTTGAAATTTTTATAGCAATTATTGTACAACTTAATCTACCTTTCAAAATTATTTTGAATAAAATTCCTCTTCCGGTTTAACCGGAAGCGACATCAACTTTGTTATTTCCAATGGAACACCCTGTTAATTTTTTTATTTTTTAATTCCTCATGAAATTCTTAATGAAATTGCTATACCTAAACTTAATAGTTTTTGAGTTAATAATTTTTTTCGTAAAATTTTGACAGTTGCACCTTCATTAAAAATTGCTTAAAACTTTTTTGATATTCGGTTTGCTGGTATGCTGTAAGGATTTTTGTAATCTTAAATCATTGTTTTAAAGATTCCATGTCTGAAATTTTCATATTTATGATCAAAAACCAGAGAAAAATCGTGGTAAATTTGGGTAACTTCAAACATTAATAACTTGTTTATTTTCAATGGAACGGTATGCATGTTTTTACATAATAAAATAGGAAAATGAATTACATTTCGATTGGTATAACCATTCCCTATACCTAAATAGTAAGGTTTCGGAAATACAAGCAAATTTCTGCAAAAATCCAATATTTTGACATATTTATCTCAGATACCGATGAAATGTCACAACAAATTAGTTATGTCATTGATTGACAGTTGATACATTTCTTAAAAAAGATATTTTAAAAATAATGGAAAACAACAATTAAACAAAGTTCTAAGAATTTAATTATTATTAATTATAAAAAACGTGATGGAAAAAATAACAACCAAAATACTATTTTAATAAATGTTCAAAATGGTGACCATTGACTTGCAAACATTTTAAAATGCGGTGCCTGGGAGATTCCGTTGTGGCCCTCCTTATCTCGCTGGGATCCAGCTCACCAGGCACCGCATTTTGGTTGTTATTTTTTCCATCACGTTTTTTATAATTTATAATAATTAAATTCTTAGAACTTTGTTTAATTGTTGTTTTCCATTATTTTTAAAATATCTTTTATAAGAAATGTATCAACTGTCAATCAATGACATAACTAATTTGTTGTGACATTTCATCGGTATCTGAGATAAATATGTCAAAATATTGGATTTTTACAGAAATTTGCTTGTATTTCCGAAACCTTACTATTTAGGTATAGGGAATGATTATACCAATCGAAATGTAATTCATTTTCCTATTTGATTATGTAAAAACACGGATTCTGTTCTATTGAAAATAAACAAGTTATTAATGTTTAAAGTTAACCAAATTTACCACGATTTTTCTCTAGTTTTTGATCATAAATATGAAAATTTGAGACATGGAATCTTTAAAAAAATGTTTTAAGATTTCAACAATCCTTACAGCATACCAGTAAACCGAATATCAAAAAAGTTATAAGCAATTTTTAATGAAGGTGCAACTGTCAAAATTTTACGAAAAAAATTATTAACTTGAAAACTATTAAGTTTAGGTATATGGAATGGTCCAGCAATTTCATTAAGAATTTCATGAGGAATTTAAAAATAAAAAAAATTACAGGGTGTTTCATTGGAAATAACAAAGTTGATATCGCTTCCGGTTAAACCGGAAGAGGAATTTTATTCAAAATAATTTTAAAAAGTAGGTTAAATTGTACAATAATTGCTATAAAAATTTCAAATTGATATCCTCAGTCGTTCTACGTAAACGTCTAAGTTACCATCGCTGGTGAGACACCCTGTATATATAGGTACCATGGGTACAGTAAAACACTCTTTTAGCTTAAATTTACTTTATTGATTAAAAAATATGTAAATACTAGCCATATAGCCGCAGCTTGGCTTCCATGGTTCTAAGGAAAAAATATTGGACACAGAACAGAGCATTATTCCAGGATAATAGTATATTATGTATCAAGTTTGATAAATGCCATTTTAGTCACGAATTTAATTTACGCATAAAACTTCAAAACGTGATTGTTATGAAAATATTTTATCCTTTATTTTTTTTCTACTCCCACCTTTAAAACGCCCCTTATCCATCATTCCATAACTTTTTAAATACGCATTAACAAGTTGTGGCTTTATGACGCTTTAATCACGGGCTGAAGTTAGCAATAGGTTTTTAGTCACGGTAGAAGTTAGTTTTAAGTTACTTGACAGTTGTCAAATGTCATACAATCGTTAAAATAAAGTGCCTTTCTTGTAAAATAATACTAAATGTGAAAATTATTTTATTATCTCAATACAAAAATACAAAAGTATTAAATAGTTTCTCAACGCCAATATATGAAAAGTTTATATGAACATTGTACTGACCTTTTAATTTCGCCGGCAGTAAACTATAACTTAAATTCGGGCACGGACTCACATTTTCTTTACTTTCTCTGTAAAAAACTGTCAATTTTTAAGAAATACATTTCCATTTATAATCTTTATAATCTGTGTTTATAAAATGTAATAATTTGTGACATTTGACGGCGACACCCAGATTCCCCTATTGTTTCATAGATGGCGCTCTATACAAATTTTTGATTTAAATCATTTTAAGATAATAATAAGTATTTGTCGTAGAAAAAGTATACTATGCACCTCGTTTATAAACGTTTCTATGCACTCATCAATTTAAGCACTCTCGTCTCTAAATTAAATTCGTGTATAAAATGGCGTTTATCAAACTTGATACATAATATACTATTTTATTACTAGAATTGCAAAATATTATTACAAAGTATTAAAAATTCTTTCACGGGAAATGTTAAAGGTACAAAAAGTGACAGTTGTATTTATTGGAATTCCCGTTAGAATTTTTAACTAGGGAATCTACCGGCGTTAAAATCTCAAATTTGTCTGTGTAAATCAAATTTATCTCTTAAAAATAGACTAACAATTGATATAGAATCAGTTTTTCACAGTAAAAGAAAAGAGAATGTTTTATGGGAACTGTACGCAAAAACTTGTCAATGTGTACCTACTTAAAAGGTTAGTGTCATGGAAACATGAACGATAATTTTTAAAGGTGGTAGTAGAAAATAGTATATTAAAGAACTAATGTCATAAGACGTCATTTTGTCGCACGAGGACAATTTATATGTAATGGACGAGTGCGACAAAAGGTCTTATGGCATGAGTTCTTTATGCTATTTTATCTATTTTGCAAAAATTCTACAAAAAAATGATTATAATTTGGTCCAATTTTACTTTAGATAGTTGGTATAACAGTCATTGGTTTAAAGGGTTAATGTCAAAATCGATTCGCCATGTCGTCCTTAATTTACTTATTTACAATAAGAGGCTGTTAATGTTAAAGAAGAAAAAAAGGATAATCTTTGGTGTTAAACAAAATTTATTGCCAGAAAAGTCTAGAAAAATCATAAAAATATTATAACCAATATGCAAAATATTATTTTACTAGTATGCTGTTTAAAGTAGCCAACCTATAAAATCAAAATTTTGGGTGGGTTAAAGTACCTCATTACAGCACCGAAAGCGGTGTTGCAATGAAGTTATTATGAACGCAAAATAGATAAAAGTATTTTATATGACATTTCAGGACCTACAAAATCAATATACCCAATTTAGCAACCAGATCCCTGATAGCACACTTTATTCTAAGAATGTTTTTTAAACCTTCCAGTGAGAATATTCTTAGGATCATGCTATATTTCTTCTAAAGAACATGCTTAAAAGACATATAGCATGATCCTAGGAATATTCTTACTGGCCTATACGCAGGTTCTTAGAAGGTGCAAAGTTTTAGCGGTAAAAATTAGACTACTCTAAACATATGCTTAGAATGTTAAGAAAGTAATTGCTATAGAAAGTTCATTTAGGAATATTCCTGTTAAGCATATTTAGTTCAGTAAAAAACACAATCCAAAATATTTTTTTATAGTTATTTGTTAAATTTAAACAATATTCGATAACAAAAATACTTTTACTATAGGTAATTTATTTTATGTTTGTAAATATTTATTAATTTGTATACCGATTTTATATTTATGAATTAACATTTTTATGTATAATAATCCTAACTATCTTCCACTTCAATCTAATCTGATTTATCCCACAAAATTTTCCAATTTTACTTTTTATGAAATAATGTCATACAACTTATGGTTTAGAGGTCAAATTGTTTTTTTAAATATTTTTAAAGGGGACGACAAATACATTTCAATGTCATATTATGACAGTTGGCCGTATCTGTCGTCTCCTGAAGAATTTTACGAATGTAGAATACAACATATTAGAACGTGGGTATCTAACATATTTGGGAATATTCTCAAAAGCTTCCTAGAAGCTCCATAAGAAACCTTCTAAGACCATTCCAAAAACGTATTCTTAAAATGTTCTTGGGATGCTTTTTAAGAAGGTTTTAAGAAGGTTTTAAGAAGCTTTTTACTAATTGCATCATTAAAAGGGTATCTATTAAATGTTTTAAAAGTCCCTAAGAACATTCTTAGCAATAAGGGAAGCTTCTAAGAATATTCCATTATTCCGGGTCATATCTTCTTGGAAGATTCTTAAAATCAAATTTTGCTATCAGGGATGATCTTTTGATAAAAACTAAACTTGAAGTTAAACGTTTATGCAAAGATAAGATTACTTAAATCAAGTTATTTTGGTCTAAGACAAATAAGTTTTGTAACTTAAATGAAATAAAAAAATTACCGGCTTCGGTTAGAGCGAGCACTTGGTCCTGCATGAGGGAAATCAATGGAGATATCACGATGGCAACTCCATTCAAATATACTGGCGGGAATTGATAGCACAGAGATTTTCCATAACCGGTGGCCATTATGGAACAGTTATCTTGTTTTTCGTGGATTATTGACGATATTATCGACCATTGCATTGGCCTGAAGTCGGTGTGGCCGAAGTACTCGTTCAGCACTCGCATGTGGTCGTCAGTAGGGCCATTTTCATCTACAAGTTTATCATAATAATAATTCAAAATGTTTTTCAGACTATAGTATAGTATAGATACTTTTTCTACGATTTTAAAATATACTATAGAGGGATACTTTAATTGAGAGAAAGTGAGGTTGGATCGGTCTAAAAGTTGTTAGATAATAAAGATGGCGCCACCAGTGTTTATTTCATCATACGATGATAGAATGAATTCATTTTCTAACACTTTAAGGAATATATGAAGGGGTAAAAAGCAAAAGGGTACATGTGCAAAAAAGAGAAGTTGAGTTAATAAACTTTTAAAGTTTTTGCTATATATATATATATATACTTGTTTCAATATTATTCAACATACAGAATTCGTACAATTCTGCAATTCTCCGAACTACCCAATTCTACACTTAACCTATTTTTATTCTAAAAGGCACTTGTACCCTTTTGTTCCTTACCCCTTCATATGTAATTCCACATTAAAAAGTGATTTTAGAACGGTCATATTCCGTAATAGGAGTAGAAAAAGTACTTTTATTTACCTGTACTATGCTCCACACATCAAAGTCCAACCATGTTCCTTTGATAGAAATAATTAAGGTTGATTTTCAGTATCAAGATAATTTCCTCTTATTTTCTGTGTTATAAATTAAGACCTTTAACACATAAAAACATATATAACATTCTTTTTAGGAAATAGTACGAAATTAGCTTGACACGGCAGTGCAGTGCACTGGCAGAAAATTAACTTTTATTAACTTTGATGTGTGGAGCATAGTACCTAATACTTTCTTATTCAATAGGTTTATTATTTCAAAAATTCAACCGGTTTGTGTAGAAGTACCCTTAAATAATAATAAACATAAAATTGCTAGCTTGGTAATGAGTCATTATGACTTACCATCTATGGTATGTTGGGTCTTCTGTACAAATTTTTCACCATCTGTGCTCTAAAAAATAAACAATAGTTATCTAAAGAAAGGCCAATAAGTGATTCTTCTTGCCGAATGACACACACTTCAATCGGTCTATAATTTAAGGCACAACTTTATGTATTAAGCGATAAATAAAACGTACAATAAATAAAGCGGGGTGAGATAGATCTGACAGATATAGAATTTTATAATTATAATAAAACCTTGCCACAAAAAATAGTTAGGCAACTACCCGATTGATTTAAAATATTTTTATGTGCCTATAATTTATAACCAATCACTGGTGTCTAGTGTTGACAACAATAAAGTTTAATTTATAAACTGATTGAAGTAATTTTTTTTCAACAGGCTTTTTTGGACTTAAATATAATTGATTATGTTATATCGATGACTTTCTGCCAAAGTATCGCAAGCAACATAACTGAAATTTCGGGAATTGATAACATTTTTTGTTTTAAAGTCTGTTTTAAACTAAATATAGCCTAAAGGTTTTATAACAAGTAAATAGCTTATAATTATAGCTATTTACTTGTTATGAAACCTATAGGTTAAATATGGTTTAAAACAGATTTTAAAACAAAAAATGTTTTCAATTCCCGAAATTTAAGTTATGTTGCTTGCGATACTTTGGCAGGAAGTCATCGATATAAGTAATATAAATTTAAGGCTTTATAATGTATACAAAAGAATAATACATATAATTAATATAAAGCGTTGATTACGTTACTCGAAATGTTGGTTACAATAGAAGTTTCTATTGCAGGTATACGAAAACGGTCTAAGGTTATAATAAAATGTAAATATTCAAATAAATAATACAATATACTGTAAAAACGTAATTATATTTAAATTTTCTGACCCCTTACATAAAAATCTACCAAGCGAATACACTTCCTATACTCGGCCACGTACAAAAACGTGCCGTATAAAGTCTAGGCGGCGGGCGCGGTTTAAGCAAACCCGATTTGTTTTTCTCTAGCGCTGTCATCGTTTTAAAGCTCAAACATTAAATGAAAACAGTTAATAAAGTTGTATTAATTTAATAATAATAATAATAAACTATATTAATTAATTAATTAATTCATTTTTAATTTTTAACTTTTATTGCAAATATCTCAAACTCATTTAAAATGCCTTTTATGCTAAGGCCCACATAATTTAAAAGACCCAAACAATTTTAGACCAATATCTATTACACCTATTCTGGGTAAGGTTTTAGAAATCTTAATTAAGGGCAGACTTCAAAAATACTTTAATGAAAGACATTTTTTAAATACTTTTCAATTTGCATATAGAGATGGTCTCTCTACAATGTCACTAATTAACTTATTAGTATGTAATATTGTGAAATCCAGGATGAGGGATGCATTGCTAAGGGAATATTCTTTGATTTGTCTAAGGCGTTTGACGTTGTGTCAAGAGATCTTCTTCTGGACAAGCTTAATCATTATAATGTAAGAGGCGTGGCCCTTGAACTAGTTAAGTCATACCTTTTCGATAGATATCAATGTGTAGAAATTGACAAAATAAAATCCGACTTTGTTCAAATGAAATTTGGAGTGCCGCAGGGATCTGTTCTTGGGCCTTTGCTATTTATAATTTTTATGAATGACTTTGTTGTAAACAATGCTTCCGTTTTTATGTATGCAGACGATACAACAATTTTATGTAAAAGCAAGGATGAAGCTTGTCTTGAAGAGGAGTCCTTGACTGCAGCAAGTGATGCCAAACTTTGGTTTGCTGATAATGGTTTGCTTTTAAATGAGGAGAAAACCCAAAGCATGTATTTTACTTTACAACCTTCTTTTAATAATCAGCTTTCAATTAAATATTTGGGAATATACCTGGATAGCAGAATGGACTTTAAGGCACATGTTTTAAGTTTACTAAGTAAGTTGTCAAAAAGCATCTATTTGCTCAGACAACTTCGTAGTCTATTATCGAGAAGTGTACTCAGAATGACATATTTTGCTGTTTTTCATAGCCATTTATCTTATGCTACTTTGGCATGGGGAAATTCTTCTAATGCTTACAAAGTTTTCCTTTTGCAGAAGCAAGCTGTGAGAACTATTTATGGTGCTGGATATACTGATCACTGTAGGCCAATTTTTAAAGATCTGAAGATTTTGACCCTTAGTGGTCAGTATATCTTGGACTGTATCTTGTATGCTCATTCTGAGGACTATCAGTGCCAGGGGGATCATCATGGTCATGATACTAGGAATAGAGGCTTGATAGCTCTGCCGAAATGCAGGCTTTCTAAAATGCAACAGTCTTTTAAATACCAATCTGTGATATTTTACAAAAGAGTTTTTGGAATATTGTGATAGTAATGTAATGTATTGATGCCATGTAGTGTTTTGATTATTAATGTTTTTTAATTGTATTTTTTTTTAATTCTTTTATTTGCTTGTTTATATTTGTTGTATTCTTTATTTTATTATGCAACGAATTTTCTTGTATTTATTCTTTTATTTATAATTAGTGTAGTTGATAATTATATATTTATTAATTTATGTTCCCGACTTGTGCACACAATTTTGTATTGTTTTTAAGCATAAATAAAGTATTATTATTTATTATTATTATTATTATTATTATTATTATTATTTATGTTAGTCCCTGCCTTCATCGAGAGTTCGGTCAACAATATCGGGCGTATGTATACATTATAATGTCTTAATTTTTGTCATCGCAGTTTTTAAAACAGTCTACAGGGTTTGTTTTAAATATCTTAGGAAAAATTAGGTAATAGGTATATCTTTAAAAGTACCTTTTACCTAAAATTTATTTATTAATTCACACAAACATATATTCTACCATATCTGCACGGCTTTGATTCGCTTATCTTTTATTATTTTTATATTGTTTAGGAAGTGTGCAAAACGTGCAGTATAATTTTAAAATATCCAATGAATGTCAGGGATTGGGTTTCTTGTAATTAAAAAGTCAATATTTTGTTTTCAAATTCGTTAGACGAAATATTTTTAAATTTCCCATTAACACAGGGTATTTCCACGAAACCTTACCCCACATTGCAGTGGCGGCTGGTGGATTTTAAGTATACCAATATCTCAGTTATTAGACATGGGACCCACACCAAATTTATAATAGTTTATATTGACATTAAATAAACAAGTTCGGCGCAAACAGAATTTAAATTGAAGTTTGCGAAAAAAAGTTAGTTTTTCCTGTCGCCTACCCTGCCTCCAGGCCCCCCTATTTGAGATAATTCAAATTAAAGTGGTGCAATTTATTATCCACTATAATTTATCGACAAATTTAAAATTTTATTAAAAAAATCCAAATATTACAGTTTTTATACCATTTTAAATATTTTTTTATTTTAATAAAATAAATAATAAAAATTTAAAATCGAATAAAATCTGTAATATTTGGATTTTTTGAATAAAATTTTAAATTTGTCGATAAATTATAGTAGATAATAAATTGCACCACTTTAATTTGAATTATCTCAAATAGGGGGGCCTGGAGGCAGGGTAGGCGACAGGAAAAACTAACTTTTTTTCGCAAACTTCAATTTAAATTCTGTTTGCGCCGAACTTGTTTATTTAATGTCAATATAAACTATTATAAATTTGGTGTGGGTCCCATGTCTAATAACTGAGATATTGGTATACTTAAAATCCACCAGCCGCCACTGCCACATTGACAAAAAATCAGATGTGAGTCAAACCACGTCAAGTGGGACCAGAAAATTTCACGAAATCACCGATTTTGAAAATAATTACATTATTGTGTAGTAGGCATGACTCATATGTCACAGTAAAAAAATTGTTTTAAAATTCGTTTTTTTGGTAATATTATTAAGGTTGACAATTTTGTCAAACTTTAGAGCACGGTAAAATTGAAAAAATAGAATCTTTGGGACCACTCTGTATAATTGAATTAAATTTTACACACTATTGTAGAAATGTTTAGAGTATATAATGATCATTTAATTAAGGTTAATTTGTTTAAATAAAAGAATTTTTCATACATTTATTATAAACAATTGAAATTTTGTAAGTGTTATTCACGCTGAAAAAAAATTAATCTTGTGTCATAATATGCGGCAAACGTTTCCGTTTAATAAGGTGTACTCAAAAATTTGCCTTTCATATGTCATTCCGGAGATATTATTTTTTTTATCCCGCTGTGCGCTTGATCAGTACGCGGCGCGCTTCGCTGCTAGCTCGTCAGCACACGGTGTGCCTGAACGAAGTTTAAGTCACATAAAAATTCCGCAGTTTCTTGTTCGGGACCCTTTGGTGACTTAAAAATGATATTTACCAAAATCCTAGCTGCTCCTCTTTTCGAAATTTTTTGAAAAATCTTTTTTATGCATTATGCTTTTTACTATATAAAAAAGTGATTTTTGTCTAACCCTGTATAAATCTAAGCATATATATAAAAACAGTTTCTCTCGTTTACAATATCGGTGTACAAATGTGTACTCTGGCAAAGGTAGACTTTGCAACAAATAATTTTAAAAAAATTGAATTTTTTACAAATTAAAAAAAAACAGTTGGAATTTTGGTAAATATATTTTTTAACTTCAACCAATTTTTCGTTCAAAATTGAAAACTACTAAAAAGCCTAAATTAAACAACATTTTAAATACTCTCTAAGCGTTATTTTATTAAATGTTATTACAAATCTATTTTTCTTGTAAAAGGTTAATAATAATGCCATTTTGTAACCTGATAGACCTAGAAATATCTAAAAAAAAAATTGGGAATAAATATTTTTCGCGTGTTATGCTAAAATCATGAATTTACGCTTTTGCATTATTAAAAATAAGTGATTTTTGGCTAACCCTGTATATATCAAACGATGTGAAGAGTATTAAAAAATATTCTCTAAGTCTCCTAAATAATATACTCCTATTTTATTTAAATCCGTGTGCAAATGTGTACTCTGTCAAAGAGATAAACAAAAATTTAAAAAAAAATCATGAATTTTCGAACAATTTCGAAAAGAGGAGCAGCTAGAACTTTGGTAAATATCATTTTTAAGTCACCAAAGGGTCCCGAACAAGGAACTACAATCAGTTTTTGGCGGCATTTTTATGTGACTTAAACTTCGTTCAGGCACACCGTGTGCTGACGAGCTAGCAGCGAAGCGCGCCGCGTACTGATCAAGCGCACAGTGGGACAAAAAAATTAATATCTCCGGAATGACATATGAAAGGCAAATTTTTGAGTACATCTTATTAAACGGAAACGTTTGCCGCATATTATGACACAAGATTAAATTTTTTTTAGCGTGAAGAACACATAAAAAATTTCAATTGTTTATAATAAATGTATGCAAAATTCTTTTATTTAAACAAATTAACCTTAATTAAATGATCATTATATACTCTAAACATTTCTACAATAGTGTGTAAAATTTAATTCAATTATACAGAGTGGTCCCAGAGATTCTATTTTTTCAATTTTACCGTGCTCTAAAATTTGACAAAATTGTCAACCTTAATAACATTACCAAAAAAACGAATTTTAAAACAATTTTTTTTACTGTGACATATGAGTCATGCCTACTACACAATAATGTGATTATTTTCAAAATCGGTGATTTCGTGAAATTTTCTGGTCCCACTTGACGTGGTTATTTAACAAAATAACAAATATATCTGAAGTCAAATAGTTTAATTGCGACGTAATTTATACCCTTAAAATATTCCTAAATTGTGATGCCAAGAAGCTAACATTAAGAATAAACACGGAAGAGTTTCAATACTCGATAACCCGTTACATTTTGAGAAAATTTTAGAAAATAAAGTATGCAACTTATGTGCATTTAAAATACGTGCTTGTTTAAGGTTACTATTCAAGTTTTACACAAAACATTATTACTATATGCTTTCATCCAAAATTGTACAGTATCAACTTTAGAAGCCAACTTGCATTTGCCGATTTTCTAAGGTCGCGCCCGTTACGCTATTCATGACGTTATAAAAGGTTTTCTATGCAAGTTTTTATTGAAATTTTGTTTGAGTTAAATACCTACCTAATTTTTTATACTATTTTATATTAACGTATCTTGATATATATGAACAAACACTTTATTTTCATGAAAAAACGCAGTTTTAGTGTCGCACCCGTTACAATGGAAATACCCCACTATGAATTCTTTAGATAGAATATTTTAAAATTGTCCATTAACACAATGAATTGGATAACCTTAACATTAAACAATCTAAATCTTTACTTACTGTTTCACCGTTCCATTCCAACATCATTTCATTAACAACGTTTTCTGAAAAAATATTATCAAAGTGGTTCAAATCATTAACTTTTACAACTTCTTATTGTTGTAAATTAAAAAAATGTAAACATAATGCAATAAACAGTTCTATGCATATTAACAAAAAGGGTTAATAATTTAAATCACCCTGCATGTATTAATTTATTCAAATAACTTTATTCTTACCAGGTAAACTATGCTCATTTGTCCGATCTGGCTTTGTGTCATTTATTACATTCTAAAAACATAAATTACAGATAAAAAAATAATAAATTAAATAAAATCCAACCTTGCTTTTAATTTCTTTCGAATTTAATTCCTCCAAAGCGTTTACATCCAATATATCATCGGTACCTATTAAAAATAAAAACAAATTAAAATATTATTTTAAGCTGTTTATGCTTATTGCACTCTGCGACAAATTTTCATCAAAAGTTACACTGTTGTATGTAGCGTTGCCATATTCTGTCAAAAATAAAGGACATTTTGTGACAATTACAAAAATAACACAATAAACAATCCTTAGGTAACGTCAAATTCACAATTCACAATTTGCATTGTTTTACTGTATTATTTTTGTAATTAAGGTAAATTCTCGCAAAATGTACTTTATTTTTTTGACAGAATCTGGCAACCCTAGTTGTATGTCGCTTTTTCTCCATGTGTTAAATAGTTGTGTGATGTGCATTGGACTTACAAAGTGGTATGTATTATTATAATAATAATAATAGTAATAATAATGGGTCTTTATTTTTCAATTAGTACATACAAGATATTTATAATTAAAAAAAAACAAAAATTAATCAATCCTAAATGTACATATCTAAAAGAAAAAATGCCGAAGATCAGTATCGAGTACAAAAGTGTACTCTTACTGTTATTAACCTTAAGCAGAAATTTTCCTACTTTTTCAGCCAAACTAAATTTATGGTAAAATTTAGTAGGACCGTTTCTTTAAGAAAATATTCTTGTAAAACAATGCGCAAAGAAAGCGGCATTTTTATTTAAAAAGAAATGGTAAATAAGGGTCCTACTAAATTTTACCATACATTTAGTTTTGCTGAAAAAGTAGGAAAAGATTATAATTAAAGCATGGTATTCCCAAAGGGTTGGACCCAATTTGGTCAAATATTATATTATTATTTAAAAATAGTCTATGTGCCATGGAAAACGACTTTAAAAATATTCCAACTCTAACTCCTACTATTTTCATTGATTACTCACAATTTTATTTTTGGCACTTGGACCCTTTGAGAATACCAAGCTTCAATTATAATTATTATATTATAAATTTATGCCGTTTTCATATTTTATTGGATTTTTATACTTTGAAATAAGTTATTTCATAAAACAAATAATGAAAACTAAAATGTTGAAAAACGTATTAACAGTTTCATTTTATAAGCACAAAATGCGTTTTAGTTTTAAATTTTAATGGCTTTAATTTATATAGTAAGAATAAATAGTTTAATTCAAATTGCCCAGGTAACAAAAAATCACATAAAAAATTAATACATTAAAGAGGGTTATCAACAATTTTATTTGCAAAATTATGCAAAAGTTTATAATTATTTTAGTATTAAATGTCTATATATTTCACGGACAATTACAATGAATCATTCAAATGGACATTACTATTTTCCGTAACTTAACGTACTTTAAATTATCTGCAACTATTACATACTATGTCTGCAAAATTTAACCAACTTATTATTGTTGTAGCCCCGTGTTTTTTGTAAATTTTAATCACCCTGTATTTATGAATTTATTAAAATAACTTTTTTCTTACCAGGTAAATTATTTTCATTTGTCTCATCTGGCTTGGTGTCATTTATTAGATTCTAAAAAAATAAATTACAGATAAAAATATAATAAATTAAATAAAATCCAACCTTGTTTTTAATTTCTCTCAAGTTTAATTCCTGCAAAACGTTTATATCCAATATATCGTCAGAATCTATTAAAAATAAAAATAAATTAAAATATTATTTCAAGCCGTTCATGCTGATTGACAAAAGTTACATGCGTCAAGTAATGAGTATCTTATTTCAAAAGTGATTTTCCCATTTTTGGTCAAAAACGCTTTAATGACCTGAATATTATGTCAAAAAAAGGATTTCCCCCCTTAGGAAACGTTTAGAAAAAAATATTTTTTGATGGGCCATCGAATGGTGAATTATAGCTGCATCCTGTATAAGCTAATAAATTGTGTTTCTTCCCAAATATTGGACTGGTAAAAAAGCTTCTTTTCGGCAATGTTCTGGTGATGGGAGCAGTGTTCTACACCGAAAAAAATAATGTAGTTGAGTTAACATTTGCCTAAATGTCATTTTTAAAAATGTTGTTTCAACAAAAAACCTATTGGATTAATCTATATTTTGGTGTTAAAGCAAAAGTCAGAGTTTGTCAAAGTTTATTTGTTCATTTGACAGTTTAAATATTAATTTAACATAAACTAATATTTTGAATTAAAATGTTTATCGTACTTTGATTTAATAGCTGGAATTTGTTGAATCAACTACTGAAATTTTTAGGATTACCTAAAAAAACTATTAAATTAACGTTTAGTTGCTCTTTAATCCAAAACTTTAAATTTGTTCATTTAACAAATTTAAAATGTTACTTTAAAATTTAAAATGTAAAATTTGCATTCATAAAATTGCCGAGAATGGCGCTTCGAACACTCACGCCACGTCATTAGACAATGACGTTTTCTTACATCTCGCCTTAGTTAGCTTACGATTAGGTGTATGGGCGTTTCTCTGTAAACTGGGCAACTCATTGTCTCAAGCTAATATTGTTTAGAAAAATAACAGATCAAAAATATTTCGTAGATAACTTCAAAAGATAATAACCTAATCTACCTATGCTCGACGTTCAAAATCCAATAAAATAAACTTTAATGTATCAAAATCGTTTTTATAGTCCTTAAAAACCAGTCCCCTGACGTGTCACCAAAGCAAAATGGTCACTTCAGACTAAATTAATTAAAGACAGTAACTATTGGAATCAACCTAATTGTTTAATTATTCAACTAATATTGTTTGCTTGTTACTGTAACTTATTTATTTTTTATAATTATTATTTTGTAATTTTAAAAAAGTCATCTAAACTTTGTCTCCGGATTTTATAAACAGTCCCCGGTATAGATTTTTCAGAAAATGCTCAATGTTTTCCAAAGTAATAGGAATATTTTTGGTTCATCTGCCGTATACTAATAAATAGACCGATATTTATTCCTCGAATAACATTTATTAAATACAACAAAAATATAACAAAAAAACTTGCCTAGACAATTTCTTACTTCAAGTTGCCCAGTTTACAGAGAAACGCCCGTATATAAGATGAGATATATGTTTGTTTAAGGTGTGTTCCACAGTAGAACTTTCACTACACCATATTGCCCGACACTGTTAAGACCCTCAATACAGGGCGAAACAGTCTGTCGGTATTTGAAGTAGGTGGAACACATGATACAAAGATGTATCATGGGTGGAACACGCTCAAAACAAAAACTCTGGGCGAGGTGAAGGTTCAATTCTTTCTATTTATATATAATAATATATTATTTCCATAATTTTGTTTTGGATACCAACCTTTAAAGAATTTTACATTTTCAGAATGTTAATTTAACATTTTATTGGTGTTAAGTGAATATGCTAAAAAGGTTATCTGGACATTTCAAGAAATTTACCTTAACACCCTAAGAATGTTAAATTAACCAAATTAGCAGATTAGAACAAATATTCTTATTTTGTTCATTTGACTGTTATTTGTTGTTCAATTAAACAATACAATTTGACATTTTTAGATGGTTAAGTAAACGTGCAAAAACCATTGCTTGTATTTAAAGTGCATAAAGAGTTGAATTAATATTTTTTTTGTTGTTTCAACAGCTTATTTTTTTCAGTGTATAGAGTGGATTTAAGAATGTGGCTGAAGTAATATTTTTCTAATAATGTAGTTGACTATCCCCTTATAAAAATTACAAAAAAATTGTTTTTTTATGAAAATACTGTACACACGTTCAATTGTTTTTATGTTTTTACCACTTTAATCAGAAAAAAATTACACAATTTGCAATTTTTAGCTCCAATATTATTATGTCTGCAAAATTTAACCAACGTCTTATTGTTGTAGCCCCGTGTTTTTCGTAAGTAAATTTTAATCACCCTGTATTTATGAATTTATTAAAATAACTTTATTCTTACCAGGTAAACTATTCTCATTTGTCCCATCTGGCTTGGTGTCATTAATTAGATTCTAAAAACATAAATTACCTACAGATAAAAAATAAAATACATTAAATAAAATCCAACCTTGTTATTAATTTCTTCCGAGTTTAATTCCTGCAAAACGTTTATATCCAATATATCGTCGGTATCTGTTAAAAATTAAAACAAATTAAAATATTGTTTAAGGCGTTCAGTTATAACTATAATAAAAAACCCTTTATATAAATATAAAGGGTTTTTTATTAAGAGCGACGCATTTCAATTAGGGCCGAAATACCAGAAATTTCGTATTCAATGTTGGCCTGCAGCTCTTCTAACGTTGCTGGATTGTTCGCATAGACAAGCGATTTAATGTAACCCCAAAGGAAAAAGTCTAAAGGGGTTAAATCGCACGAAGGAGGCGGCCATTCGCGAGGACCGTTGCATCGACCGAAAATTGGCGTAAGCTCAAGCAACGTAGTCGCAATAGAACGTGAACTTTGATAAAAAAAGTTGTTGAAGCGTGTATTTCTCCATGATTACATGGCCACGGTGGTCAAAACTTAAGTATAGGACGAACAAAAATGCCAACCAAAACTGATAGCATATTTTGATTATAGACCCTTTTGGTAACACTAACATGTATTTATCAAAATCCCAGCTGATCCTATTTTAAAGTTTTGCAAACTTTTTTGTTTTTCTATTTCTATATATTATTTTGCAATTATTGTACTAAAACTACCTGTACAATTTTAATAAAATTAAGCAAAATAATAAACTTTGTATCATTTAAATTACTTTACTCCCCAGTATTAATTTATTGAGTCACCTATTATTTTTACCACTCAAAACAAAACATAACAAACAAAAATGAAGATTTAAGTATATCTTAAATATTTTTTATAACAAAAAATACTGGAAGTTTGTCTATGAAATAATTACAACTTGCTAATTTTGTAAAACAATAATTAAGGTGGTTATGAAAAAAATTGCTATACGTTATAACGCAAGTGACATTTTGCTTTATTTGTTTATTTAGTGTATACTTTATAAAGTTAAAAATAGTATTTTAAAATGAAAATTAAACCGAAATTCAAGTTAAGCCATGAAAAAAATCGAAAGAAGGTATGTGCTGGCTGTGGAGACAAAATTGTTTTTTTTAGGGTTTCTGAGAAAATATAAAAATTACTGCAGACTTTTTAAACGAACACTTTAACTTAAGTGATTCAAAATTACCTACTTCAATATGGTAAAAACGGTATTTTTGCATAGCCACAATAGCCAAATTTTCAAAATTTAGAAATTGCTAGAGAATTTCGCGGCAGCCAAGAATGTATGTGCTTTATTTGCAAAATGGCAAGATATAAAGGGCATAAAAAAATTATTAAGGGAAGAGGACGGACGAACGAACTAAAGTTTTGATATGCTCTTCCTTTCTAGGGGATATCGCTAGATGTAAGAAGCATGTTTGTACAGAGACTGAAGAATTTAAAAATACTGTTTCCATGTTAAAAACAACTCCATGTATAAGACCCAAGAAAAAGTTTTACTGAAAATTTAAGGCAAGCAGTAATCGATTTTGCTTCAAAGAATCTTTAGTTATTTATTAGTTTTGTAAACTGTATTTTACATTATTTTGTATTTATAATGTTATTTATCCATATTTCAGTCATGTATCTGCCAAATTTTTAAAAACATTTGATAATGGTACTAGAGTATTTTATAAACAATTTTAAAATACTAAGAAATATGCAAAACTTTAATAAAGGATCAGCTGGGATTTTGATAAATACATTTTTGTGTTACCAAAAGAGTCTATAATCAGATTATGTTGGCATTTTTGTTCGTCCTATACTTTAGTTTTGACCACCGTGTGGCATAGACTGACGTTTCAAAATGTCCAAGAATTGATAAGGCAACTACATTCGAGAAATGTCAAATACAAAATGCGTCGTCCCTATTAAAAAACTCTTTAGGTCTCTATATCAAATAGTTAAATATAGGGGTTTAAGGGGTAATCATTTCTTGTTAAATTTTTTTTCATACATTTAAAAATATACCCAATTTTATGTCTTTTTTATCGTTAGAATCACGTAATGGTTAGGATAAACGGATTATGTTGCGTTTTAGATTTTATTAAAGTCATTTTTTATTATCATTTGTACTTTAAATTATTAGCAACTATTACATACTCTGTCTGCAAAATTTAACCAACTTCTTATTGTTGTAGCCCCGTGTTTTTTGTAAATTTTAATCACACTGTATTTATGAATTTATTAAAATAACTTTATTCTTACCAGGTAAACTATTCTCATTTGTCTCATCTGGTTTGGTGTCATTTATTGGATTCTAAAAACATAAATTACAGATAAAAAATATAATACATAAAATAAAATCCAACCTTGTTTTCAATTTCTTTCGAGTTTAATTCCTGCAAAACGTTTATATCCAATATATCATCAGTATCTGTTAAAAATAAAAACAAATTAAAGTATTTTTTCAAGCTGTTTATGCGGATTGCACTGTGGGTCAATTTGTGGCGGCCCGTCAGGGGAGGCAGGTGAGGCAGTGCCTCATCATAGAGAATTAAAAAATTAAGTATAATTTAAATATTTTACTTTCTATAATATAAGTACTATAAATTTTTAATATTTGGATTACATGAATTGTGAAATAGTCAATAAAATTGATTGATTTTATACGTGGAAAACCCTTACTATAAATTTTTAATATTTGGATTACATTAATTGTGAAATAGTCAATAAAATTGATTGATTTTATACGTGGAATACCCAGCAGCATTTAAATTATTTGAATTTGAAACGACCGCAATTTAAACTAATATTTATAGCTAGATGATTGGCTCAGAAGCATGCCTGAACTAATTTAAACTCACGATTGGCGTTAGCCTTGTTGTCTCGTTCTATTACAATGCGATATCATAGTTGCCTCCTCTCGTATTAGCATACGCGAGGCAGGCACGCCTACATCAAGGAAATAAGCAGGTGTTGTGGCAACACTGTTGCGGAATTTTAGATAAACACGTTTTTCAAAATTCAATAATAAATGGTATTATTTTTATTATAATAAATCGATTTAATCAAAATTATATTTATATTCTAAAATAAACATATTTTAACACTATTGCCATCTTGTAACCAATAAAATAAATACAGATTCCTTCTTTAGGTTTGTTTTGGTTATAAAATTCTGAACTGTTTAAAGAACAAATCTGTGGTTATTTACGCAATATTTTGTGTATTCTTTTTCTATGAGTTTGTCTATTTTATACCTGTGGGTTTAGTTAATTGAACTTGGTGATTTATGTGAATTTAGTCATTATGGATATTGCGGTGAGAAATTGTACCGATATTGTTGACTTTCTTTTGAACTTTCCATTTAGTCGTCTGTTTATATATTTAGATATCTATTTTTTTATTTATAAGAGTTATATTTATTTTGTTGGTTATTTATAACAGTAATATTTATTTTATTGGATATTTATAAGAGTTATATTTATTTTTTTGATTGTTTCGCACTGTTCCCATTTTTATAAGGAGAATTTAGTTTTAGATTTTAGTTATACGCAACTTATTTATCCCTTTTTTCTCTCTAGTTCCCCTTACTTCCCTTCAGTTCTGCTTCCCAGTCTCCCTTTTTCCCGGCAATATGGTGTACTATTATTAATTTAATGATTAGGACCTAATGGTTATATTAATAATGCTGCACTTTACCTCTACACCTTCACGTGGTTCTTGCTGAACAATGAAATATTAATTAGACAAAAATGAGGTTTATTTAAAATAAACGTCATTTTTACAATAAAATATATTTCATTGACAAAGTAGAGGATTCCTTCCCCACCACAGTCTAAGTTTTTTACTTAGTTTTAAGTATAGGTTGTGAACTGCGACGTCAGTTTTTTTAAGTTGGGTTTAAAAAAATTTCTTCGCCTTTAAATGAGGGCGAAACCTCTGCCTCAACAAAATGAAATGTCACGGGCCGCCACTGGCGTCAAATTACAATACATTAGAAAATTACTAAATTACAGTACGTCATCCTAAAGTTACACTATTGTATGGCTAACTACTCAATTATCTCGTAAACAAAGCTTCAAATCAAATTTTTAGTTGAGCCCTTTTTTCTAAATTGGACAGGGAATAAATTTGGCTCCATTAAAATCGAGGGTGCCTTTTTCTTATACAAAAAAAGTTTTTTTGTCGAAAATAACTTTTTTTAATTTGATTTAAATAAACTAGAAAATAGAAGTAGATTCTCTAAAAATTGCAGGCCATCAAAGCTCTTAAAATATTTAAACATTTTCTATCCAACATATTAAAAATCGCTTGTTCGATTTCGCTTAAATTTGAAAATACTTGTACAATTGTTTTCTGGGTAAACTTTTATAAAAAGAAAGGGGCGCGTTAAATATAAGAAAACGTTTTCTTTTTAACCATCCTACTGTATATTCTTAATTTATAAATACATCATTCTTACCAGATTCACAATGTTCATTTTTCTGATCAGGCTTGGTGTCATTTTTTTCATTCTAAAAACATAAAAATACGATAATATAAAAATTCTAACAAATTAAATTAAAATCAACCTCGTCTTTAATTTCTTTGGAATTTAATTCTTCCAATGCGTTTATGTCTAACGTATTATCGATATTATCTGAAAATATAAATAAATTTAATTATGGAATATTTTTCTTTAAATTTAACATACCTGTAATTAAAACCTGCGTTACAGCCTCGCGATCCTAAAAGTAAAAAAAAAAATAGATGAAATAAAAATATAGGGTTGATGCCAACAATTTATAAGGATATACCAAAGCCAGTCCTAAATTTGAATTTACTTTATTTCTGATTGTTTGGAAAAAGTTTGTGCAATTTTTTTTAATTAAAAATTCCTCAAACTATTGTGCAAAAAAAAATAAAATTAATATTCACCCATATGTAGAGGCACTAACTAGGTAACTTTTTTTCGGTATGAATATAAAAATATAGTAATTTCAGGGATAACGATAAGGGTAATTCCATTTATTAGCCACCAATGAGTGCACCTTATATCCTCTAATTTTATTTCTTTTTTAACTGTAAATAGACAAGGACCCAAGAAGTAAAAAAACTCACCTTTTCTTTTTTCCCCCCTTCACCTATTTATACAGGGACATGCAAAAGTTACTGTGCACACCTAACTTTAAAAAATTGTACTTCTTTTGCTTATAAAGCTATCGACATTAAACAAACTGTTAATTGTTAAGAAAATATTTCTCTTTTAAACCATATAGGACACATTTAGTTATTGATACCCTAAATGGCTTTGGGAATTTTTTTAAAAATGCAATTTTTTGTCAAAATTGTCTAATTTTATAAATTTGTTACCAAAGATCCTTCTCTATATAAAAGCAATGAAAACATTTTCAAATAATACTGGCTAAGAGTTCAAAAAATATAATAAAAATTCATGTTTTCGAAAAATCACTATTTTTAGCCATTTCATGGTTTAAAAAGGCTATGTTTGAGTGAGTCGATTTAAACCAATTTGTGCTTATCATCACATGCACTTATTAGCCTTCAATAACCATGAATAAAATTATTGTGTAAGTATTTTGCTTTTAACTGGGCTGTGGCTGTATCAACTACAGCCCAGTTATAAGGAAAATACACAATATGCCCACCTGACTAAATCCATAATATGGATTATAATATTATTAATTTTATTATTATAATGTGGATTATATTAATATACATCCATAATATTATATTAAATATATATTTTATAAAAAAACTCGGTAGGTAGACTTGAATTGAGTTCTAATTCGCAAGAGACCATTTTTAACATTTTGTTTTAATAATTAAAATATTTTTAAGATATTGAAATTTTTACATAATCATAAAAACTAACCTACTTACTTTAAACATACTAATTTTTTACCTTTTGTAAATAAACAAAAACTAAAATAATAAATTATTAAATTGTGCATAATTTTCTAAAAACAGTTTACACACCAATTTCTGTCATTTAAAAGTGTCAAAAAATGGATTGTTCCGTTGGAAAATTAATTAATGAAAAATGCCATAAATAGTTATTTATGTATCAAGGCAGTAAAGTTGTAATTATTTGCCGAGGCGAAAGCCGAGGCAAATAACCACGTGAGTGATAAAAAATGACTGCCGAGGTGCATATTAAATTTTAGACGAAATCACATTTAATAATACTAATATCTATTGATGATTAAATCAAATGTCATTTGATGATCAAAGGTATGGTGTACGTATACTGTTTGTTACGACGGTTGTTATATATTTCCCGCCGCGGCGATTTTTTAATCTAATTAATAAAATTAACTTATTATTTATTTTTATTAAAAAAGTAAAGTTCTACTTTACTGCCGATTTCTTTTACTTTACTGCCGATTGTTGACTACTTTCGGATAAAAATATTTTTCGCGATTTTCCAAGATTGAATCTTGTACTAAGGAGGAAAAGGATTTAGAATGGCGAGTGGATGCCACTGTAACCGATATTTGTACGAAGGTATCACAAATTAAAGTATCTATATTATTTGACCAAAATTTTTGGTGAAGTCTGCTGCGATCCATTTAAACGGCATAAGTCGTTAATTTATTCCTCTTGATAGACATTATATACATAAGAAAATTGTCCGATTCATATAACTTTTTAGAGTTAAAAAATAGTAAACAGGTTTTTTAGTTAAGAATATGATTTGTTCAGTTTAATTATATGCAGTTAGGTTTAATTCAAATTTAGGATTAAATACATGTTTTATATATATAAAGTATCTTTTAGTCATTTAATTAATTTGTTGTACATTGGATTATGTTTTCTTAATTTAAAAAATAAATAAATGGGTAGTTAATTTTCGACGCCACTGTATGTGGTTTTTATATTTTATATTTTTATTCAGAATGAATTAGAAGTCAATTTAAGGCTGTCGAGTTATTTTAAAGATGTAATACGTTTTTTTGAAATATATGGTTAATATATGGATTTAGTCACAGGTGGACATATACATCTACAGCCCAGCTAAAAGAAAAATACACTATAATTTTATTCATGATTATTGGAGACTTATAAATGCCTGTGATGATAAGCCTAAATTGGTTTAAATCGACTCACTCAAACATAATCTTTTTAAACCATGAAATGGCTGAAAATAGTAATTTTTTGAAAACATGAATTTTTATTATATTTTTTTGAACTCTTAGCCAATATTATTTGAAAATGTTTTCATTGCTTTTATATAGAGTAAGATCTTTGGTAACAAACGACATTAAAAAAATTTTGCTGGCAAGTTGTTCTAAGAATATATGAATTTATAAAATTAGACAATTTTGACAAAAAATTGCATTTTTTTTTAAATTCCCAAAGGCCATTTATGGCATCAATAACTAAATGTGTCCTATATGGTTTAAAAGAGAAAAATGTTCTTAACAATTAACAGTTTGTTTAATGTCGATAGCTTTATTAGCAAAAAAAGTACAATTTTTTAAAGTTAGGTCTGCATAGTAACTTTTGAGTAGCCCTGTATAAATAGGAGATAGGGGGAGAAAAGAAAAGGGGAGTTTTTTTCACTTCTTGCGTCCATGTCTATTTACAGTTAAAAAAGAAATAAAATTAGAGTATACGAGGTGCACTCATTAAGTTTGGACCTTGTCTATGGTTTGGACTTTGTCTCATTATTTTATGTTGGTATCAATGTCTTTGTTGTACAAAAAATAATTTAAAGTTACACTATACTTACTTCTTCTTTCCATTCAGATTTAAACTCGTTTACAATCTCTTTGTCCATTATTACATTTTTTCTTCAACAGTTTTATTTCTAAAAAAAAAATTTTTATGAAAAATTTTCTAATACTGACGTATAAAGTCAATTCACGTAGGTACGGTAGCACAAAAAGATTCTGGTTACCTAGTAACTTTTGTTATGTGATGCGTGTCCACTTTGTGGAAAAATAAAAAAACGCAGTAATTGTCATTGAAGCAAAGCTAAGATTGTTTTGGCTAAAGACCCTATTGAAGGGTTTCTAGTTTGGGCTGCCTTTCCTGAAAGTTTGCAATTGATTTTAAAGTAAATTTACGATTAGCATGAGACTGCATAACAATACAATACATACAATATACCGGGTGTATCTGAGAATAGGCGCACCCCTGTAACTTTTTTATTAATAAAGATAGACATATAAAATTTAGCATGGTTAATTAGGATATAAAATGCCTCTTATAAGAGTACAAAATGAATTATTTGAACTTCCGGTTTCGCCGGAAATGATATCAACTTTCGATTTTTAAATGGAACGCCCTATATATTTTTACATATTTAGAATCCTGAGAAAATTCTGAGTCGGACAGCATCCTCAAATTGACCTTTCGACGTTTCGTCATCAGAAAATACATCATCATAAAGATGAATCCAGAGTGCTTTGAACTATTTGAGAAAAACGAATTTTAACAAGTTTAGACTGCTGGGAATAGCTGAATAACAACTTTCTAAGGCAAGTTCCATTTTTTAGGAATTGTGTGGATCCATTAGAAGAAAATAAGATAGTTCAAAGAACTCTAGATTGATCTTTATGATGAAACATTTTCTGATGACTAAATGTCTAAAGGTCCATTTAAGGATTCTGCCTGACTCAGAATTTCCTCAGGATTCCAAATATGTAAAAATATATAGGGCATTCCATTTAAAAATCGAAAGTTGGTGTCATTTCCGGCGAAACCGGAAGTTCAAAAAATTCATTTTGTACTCTTATAAGTGTCATTTTATATCCTAATTAACCATGCAAAATTTCATTTGTCTATCTTTATAAATACAAAAGTTACAGGGGTGCGCCTATTCTCAGATATTATGGACCATATTGTAATTTAGTAAATTACAATATGGTCCATATATGTATATTAAACTGCTCAAAAGTTGATAAGATTTTTTTTTAATTTATAAATTATAAATAAATAAGTACAAAAATAATTTTATATTTGTTTTTATCTGGATTTTTTTTTTAAAAATTGTAAACATAAATATGAAAGAATAAATAATTAATATTTTACTTCGAGTTTTGTCGTTCTCTACGTATAGATAGTATTTTCACTTGAAATACTGAAAAATAAACTTTTTTTAAGAAATTTCAAGAAATAACGCAATATAATTTAATTTATCTTCGAAAAGTAATTTAATTTACTTGCGTTCATACAAAAAGTAACGTAATATAATTTTACAGAAATAGTTAAAATTAAAAACAATATTTAAAGACATTACTTTACTTTAGGTTAGTTTAAGTTTTAGATATGTAGGCATATGGCTTACCTTGGCCAATTACAGTTGAAATATTTTTGTTATTATTAAATCCGTTCACACAAAAATCTTAAGATTTATGTCAACAAGGAAAATCGCAACGGTTAAAAAAACAATAACCACTAAAAAAAACAAGTAAACAACTATTAATTAAATACGAAATGCGAACTTCAGAGACATCTATTATAATTAAACTAATGTAAATTATGTTTTTAATTTTCTTAATAAAATTCTTTATTCAATTTTGTTAATATTTAGTTAATATTAAATTTTTAGTGTTGTTTTTACTTAAGATATGTATTTCGCTAATATTATTTTTAGTATTAAATCAAATTTTGTAAGTGTTCTTTTAAGAATTACATGCGTTGACTGGGGCGATATTTACATTTTTGGACCATTATCTGATCCACATTCTTTACTTTTAAAAACATAACACAATAAAAAGTGTAAACCCAGCATTCAAAACAACAATTTTTTTTACATGAAATAAACAGTCTTATAACAAAAATTTCAAAATTGTCAAAAATTCCATTTTTGCTTGTAACATAAGTGGTCGCGCTCCTTTAAAATGACTATATTCCTGAATGTTTTTAATTTTGATATTACTTTTGGCTATAGTCGGATAAATAAACATTATTTCTATTTAAACACAATATTTACCTACCTAATGAAAAAAAAAACAAAAAATAAAATAAACAAAAAAATTATTTCTTCTACCAACTCAGAAAAGGAGAAATCAGAAGGAAGTTTAGGAGTTCTTTTTTTATTTGTGTATTCTTATAAAAATGTAAAGGTAGGTACTTTAAAACAATGATTATGTTTTAAATTCCATATTTTGTTAATTTAGAAATATTTTACATTGCAAAAATTAAAATTTAAAAAATTCAATTTAAAACAATGATTTGAATTTCATATTTTGTTGATTTAGAAATATTTTATATTGCAAAAATTTAGTATTAGTATTAGTGAAGTATTTCTAAATCTCAAGCATTCTGTCCATAGCTTTAAAATTAGTAGTTTAAACTAATAGTATTCAGTAAATATGTCGACGACGAATAATACTAAAATAATAGTATTATTTCTATGACGACAGTGCATGGTAGACACACACGGTACTAAGATTGTCTTAGTACCATGGTAGAGTCTACCAGGTAGACAAATCAGTCTGCACAATTCCAAGAAAACGACAAACACCTGCGCGACTAGTTAAGGGTTAAGGGATGCTGAATAAAGAAGTTGTATGAACAAGAGTTGGTAGGTACAACTTAAAACGACGTTATTAGATATACATAAAAAGTCAATAAAATGGAAAAATATCTTTGACAATTTTGCAATTTTTGTTGTAAATGCAAAAATAAACGTGAATATTAAAGAATTCTGTGCGAGGTAAATTTACAGAGGTGGTTTTATTTTCAGCAGTTGATTAATTGTATTGTCATCCAGTTCTGTGCTATGTCCCTAGACAGGGCTGGGGCTATGTTTAAAGATATAAGTATCTAGCTCATCGGAAAGTTAGTTTAAAATCGATTTCAAAATTTGAACAAATAAATGCTATAATAAGAAAAATATTGTGTTTAATAGGTACTTAAATATGGGACAAATTAAAGTTTATTTATTTATTTTGTAAATTATAAAGTTACTTACTTAATCAGATTCTTATTAACGTTAAAAACTTCAATAAATACGTTCAATTTTAGTTATATACGCAAAACACAAATAAACACAATGAAAGTTGTCATACGTCAAACTATGCGTCAAACAGCTGATTGTTTACATGTAATTAATCACGGCGTTGCCAAATGTTTGTTAAAAAAGTAAGAAAATGTCATATTATATTATATTATATTTCATTTTATACAAAAACAACAAAATAACTTAATTTTAAATTTAGTTTACTAAAAAATATGGTTGCTTAATATTGTGATCTGGGTTGCCTAAGCCTGCATACTGGACTAACGATATCTTTACAGTTTCTTCTCCTTAAAAATGCGTTTTTGTTCATTTGGCATTCTGGGCTATTGGCTAAAAGTATTCCTTTACATTTTTGCTCTTGCTCGTTCCAGTAACACCTCGTGAATGAATTTGGACTCACACAGCTGCCCGTCTTTGGTGGTTTGAGACAGTCTGCAAAGAAAATATAAAATATAGGGTATTAATTCTGCCGTGCTTAATGAAAACGCCGTAACCAACAATTTTGAGATTTTTGTTTTACGGCATTTTCTACTAGAAAAATTCATCCTGCGTCTATCCCCGGTACTCAAAAATATATATGAAATATAGATACGGTTTTTTGAGTACAGGGGATAGACGCAGGATGAATTGTTCTAGTAGAAAATGCCGTAAAACAAAAATCTCAAAATTGTTGGTTACGGCGTTTTCATTAAGCACGGCAGAATTGGAAGCACATAATATTAAAATAAATACCCCACGAGCTCTTAGCTTGTGGTATGCAGTCTAGTCAAAGTTAAAATTATTTATTTACAATAAGTTATTATTAGTTATTATAGTTATTACATTTTTAACAAAATATTTTAAAATACAGTGCCATGCTTTTACTACATGGCACTGTGCCAACGCATCTTTGGCACATACCTACAGTGTAACTTGGCGAAAACGCCTTTTGCGCAATTGAACTAAATATATTTTGCATTTATTTTTTAGCATTCCCACAAATTTTTATTAAATTTTTTTAAATATGTTTATTAGGGTGTCCCAAAAAAAAAAGAATATTTTTTTTCTTCTCGTCTCTTGTGAAAATATGTTGGTTTGTCATGTTTTAAGAGCCCTGTCAAAAGATCAGCACCATTAAAAAATTTTTAGGGGTCGCTCAAGATTTTTAAAAATTACCAAAATCGTCAAAAATTGGATTTTTTTTTATTTTAATTTTTTTTCTCTTTCCGATATTATTTTTTAATTTAAAAATAATAAGGATTCTGAAAATTTCAAATCGATATTTTAATTTGTAAAGGTCGCTCAAGATTTTTTTAACTTTCAAAGTAGAGTATTTTGAATGTTTTGCGACCTCTGAATATAAATATCAACGAACTTTTAGCGACCTTTAGAAATCAAAATATTGATTTGAAATTTACAGAATTTATATTATTTTCAACCTAAAAAATAATATCGAGACGAGAAAAAGAATTAAAATAAAACAAAAATTCAATTTTTGACCATTTTGAAAATTTTTAAAAATCTTGAGCGACCCCTACAAAATTTTTAATCGAGCTGATATTTTGAAAGGGCTCTCACAGCATGATAAACTAACATATTTTTACAAGAGACAAGAAAAAAAATAAATTCTTTTTTTTTTGGGACACCCTAATGTTTATATAGGTATTTTTAATATATTTAAACTATTGTAAACTATAGTTTACAAGAAAATAATTTTTAAATCAAATGCTATTATTTTTTTTAATCATACATTGTAAATAAACTAATAAAGTTTTTTCAAAAAATTGTATTTAGTAACTATCTTCTACCTACTTATTATACTATCTATAGATTATGATTTAATATTAAATTTTATTTAACTTTCATGGCTACTTCGAAAATCATGGGCTCACTTATATATAGGTATTATACATATGAAAGCTTTTTTTGTATAGTTAAGACGACCAATGGTGACATTTTTCCAAAAATGTATTTATTTAGATGTAAAACATGTGCAGCTGTGTCAAAAAGAATAAGTTTGCTTATGAAATTGGAGGTGATTCTAATGCTGAAGATGACCAATCTAAAGTTTAACGTTTTTGTTTATTATTATTTAACAATCGTGATTTTCATTCAAAAATCACTATTTGATTTGAGCTTACTATAAAATCAGAATTTACTACTTAATTATTAGGGATGGGATATTTAGGTACTAAAAACTGAAAAATAGGTAACTAAAAAAGTACTAAAAAAAAGCATTTTAGGTTAAAAAAACAGCATTTTAGGTAAAAAAAATAATTAAAAGTTTAAGTTTCGTTTATAATTTTGTTTAGCCGCATACCCAAACACAGAACATACCCACAATAAACTATTTCTATGCAATAAACTGTGTTTTACTGAGTGACACTCACTACACAGAAGTTCTATGACAGAACATAAGCTCACTAGTAGTGAGTCACTACAAAGAAGGTAACTGTAAAGAAAGTTACTGTTACAGTCTGTAACCATAAGAAAAAATTCTATACCGTTGAGTTGCACGCCCTGGATAAAATATTGGCGCAAATTTTAAAAAGAACAAAAAAAATAAAATAAGTAAAAATACGTAAAAATAGGTAACAAATATGTGAAAATAAACTGACAAATTCAAAAATATGTAACAAAAGTATAAAAAGGTAGTTTAAAGCAAAAACCTCCAAAAAAGGTAAAAAAGGTGAAAAAAAGTTTAAAAAAATAGGTAACAAAAGTATAAAAAAGGTGGTTAAAAGCAAAAACCTCCAAAAAAGGTAAAAAAGGTGAAAACAATTGTTTATTTTTATATGAACCTAACTTAAGTTAGGTTCATATAAAAGAAAATCTTTTAAAACACATTTTGGCATTATTGGTTTTCAAATAGTTACATCGGTTAAAAAAAGGTAAAATAACTAAAATCCCCTCCCTATTAATTATAAATAAACTCAATATGAAATCATCGATGATTTTTATTTTTGAACTCCATATGACATCAGTGTAATAGTAATGCATATGCATTAAAAAAATAAGACAGAATTTACTTATTGATCCCAAAATGAACTCAATATGAAGATATCAATGATTTTCATTTTTGAGTTCTATATGACCCTTAGGTGATTGATACCTGGCGCCTCCACAACTTTTTTTAAACCTAAAGCAAGAATGATTTCAATTTGACTCATGATGTCAAAGTGAACTCACTGTGGGAACATATATATACCTATATATATATATTAGGTACAAATTCAGAATTGTCCCTGGGTACCTTTATACTTTAGTTTGATTTAGAAAAAATTATATTTGTTTAAAAGTTTTAGATAGTTTTGTGGGCCAAAGTTGTCTGGTCCTAAATGTTATACTAAATACTGGTTTTCCATTCAATATTAGAGAAATATTACAAAATAATGATTTTGCTCTGGCTTAAGCCAGAGCAAAACTAATAATTATTAGTTTTTTACCTAATTGATATCTTTTGTATTGAACAATAAATATTTAACATGTTTACATTATATATTTTTCTGCACTTCTGTAGTTAATTTTTAAGTTGGGAAAATGTTATCCCAATGCACTTAAGAAAAAACAATTGTATAAAGGGTCCTTTGGGATAATAATTTCCCTCCCGAAAAAAGAGCTTTTTACCCAAAATTTTGAATTTTTGATATAAACAGTAGTTTAAGTAAACCAAAAACAACATTTTCTCCAAATTTCATTTAGCTAAGACGAAAATTGCCTTTTGCCCTATAAAGGGTTAAGATTGTTAGATTCATCCCGGACTTAAAAATCGTGCAGCAACAAAAGAAAACATTTTGGATGTAGTCATAAAAATAAAATATTCAGAGTAAAACCGAATATAGGAAAACGTATCGGGCGTGGCCTCGCCTCCCTCCAAATTAAATGATAATAATGCAAAAAATCTCTTTAGCGATACAGGCTATTTGTGCGTTGGAGGGAGGCGAGGCCACGCCCGATACGTTTCCCTATATTCGGTTTTACTCTGAACGGGCTGTATATTGTTGGCCATAATTTTTTACTTGAAAACCACACGGAGAGAAAAGTATATTACTGATTACCATAATTATAATACCCTTTACTATATTATATATTACTATTTGGGACAACTATCTTGTATATTGCCAGTTACTATGCATATTTAGTAATTTTTAAATATGCATGTATATTAAACCTTAAGGTTATTATTCTTAACCAATTTTGTTTTTAATTCTTATTATAATTAGATAGTAAATTTTAAAAATAAATATAATAGATACGTAACCCATAAGAAACTAAATAGTGTATTTTATTATTTTGTATAATACATTTGATTATATCATATAGTAAATATTACTATTTGTAGATAGTAAAATTAATTTACTATACGAATATATTCAAAATTAAAATACGTATTATACATTTTTGATCTAATAATATTGGTGGTGTAATCTTTACTAAAATTGTATAATAAAAAATACTATTTCGTATTACAATCTTTATATTTTACTGACGAATATTTAATATTGTTAAACTAAACATTTTTTAAAGTAAATTTTAATATATTTTTTTAACTATCTAAAATTTACTATACATTTCTCTCCGTGCAGTCACACAAAATTATAATATTATAATAATAAAGAAGTTTACAAAATTTCAGTGTAATAAAACTTTGTAAATTTCTTATTAGTGTACTCTACGACTACCTAGGTATGTTTTCAACATTTTCTTATAGTGAATAAATATCGTGCCCGAACCGTAAACTTAAAAAAGATTTCAGTAAATACTATAAAAGAATAAAAACACCCCAACATATTTACCTCTTTGAGCAAATTCTTTACAAATAACAAAATCAACACAAAAAACTAAACCGAAAAGTATTAAAAACTTTTTCATTTTGAACAATAAATGCAAATGTAGGTAGATATCACCCAGGGAAAAGAGTACCTATTTATATAAATAAAAATTAATGGTAGGTAAATCCAAACACATCAATTACCAGTATAATTGTGTAAAACCCGTAGAATACAAAAAAATTAATTTATAATAAAAATAAAATTGTTTATTGCTCTGTTTATTGTTAGCCCTTGAAAAAAATACTTGGCCTTAATTA